AAAATGTTTTATCACGAGGCTCGTGGGCTCGTTCCCACGAGCGCTCGGCCCGAGCGGCTCGTGAGCATGAACAGTACGAGCCGAGCGGCCGAGCCGACAAGTCGCTTGGTTCGATTGACATCACTACATGCATTCTGCCCGTTTGAGCCAAATTATTGCAGAATGAGAATGAAAAACATAGTCGTTATTGAGCCCACATAAAACATAAAAAATTTAAATTTAAATGTTGATATGATGGATAACGGTCATATTTTTCATTTTAATGAGATAATAATGTAGATCAAACGGGGATTCATATTTTTTTAAGTTGCAAAATTTCTCCAATGAATAAGAAATTGATCTTTCGCGACAAAATAACATCTAAAATTCAATTGATTGATTTTAATTTTTATTCATTGAACAAAATTTGTTAATTTTAATTTGTTCTTGTAATGTCGGAATTCGGAAGCGTCGAGTGAAGTATTTTCTAATATCTTGTTAACTTATTTAAATTAATTTTTATTTATTTGATTTTAGAGTTTTATAAATCTTGTACAAAAAAATCCTTTAAATATATATTTAGTGAAAAATAAATAATTAGAAATCTGTGTACTAGAGGTTATATAATTTAGTATAATAGGATGTTATTTGTTATTTTAGTTGATGACAGTTTATCAATTAAGATATATTTTCAATGACATCTATAAATATTTCAAAAAACGTGTTTTTTTGTAACTATTGTTCAATATGTAAATTTATAACATACGGTACATAAAATATAATCGCGATATGGTGCTAAACTTATCACAACTTGGCCTCTTACTGATGGACTTCTATGTTTGGCTTATGTTTATAAACTTTTTATAAATAATCAAGTCACTTTAAACACGCCGTTCTAGAGACAAGCTTTTAATGTTTCCAACTGAAGTTTGCACAACTTTGATGTCGTTAACAATATGACAACGTTAAGAGTGTAAACCACCAAGTCTCGAGTTAAAGGGTCGCATAGTATCACATCTAATTGAGTGTAGCAAGCAAATTTCACATTTCAAGTAACCTACGTAAACGTAAAGAAAATTGAAAACTACGATTCACCAGTGTCACAGGAGTACAGAGGACAGATAATTCAGTGACGCTCAATTAGTGGTCACAGCGCGAGTTCAAAATCCAGTTCACAGATGATCAACCTCAATAAAAGTTAGAATTTTTTGCCTCGTAGAGATAGAACCTTGCCAGCCGTGAAGTTCTTTTCCCAAAACAGTAGAAGATTATGTCTCTGATTTCGGTATTCTCTTAAGTAGTTTGTACAAGCCAAACACATTTTTCTGCTGCCATAGATATGGGATGAAGAATGACCGGTACTTGGAAGGTGACAATTCACGATCTAGATATGGTAATGCTGCAACCACCTATAGCAGAATACATTGAATGAATACACACACCTCGATAGATATATACACACCACGCACACATACAGAGGGAGGGAGGGAGAGAATCTTTACCTCCCACGTGTTCAAGTCACTTCCTCGAGGAAGGTAAGGTCTTTGGAGGTGCAACTCTACAAGGAAGGTGCATTTTTCAAGATCTTGGAGCTGCAATGTTATTGGCACAAAAGAAAGGAGGAAAAAAAAAATTCCAAGTCATTGCTACAAGTAAAACAAAGAACGAAATTGATTCACTTACTCGAAGTTAAAATACAATGAAGAGGAAAAAAAGTTTAACGACAAAGTGAGCATAAATTAATTACATATTGTTGATCTGATGCCTCGTTCTTGTTGTTGAAATAGGATGGTGCTGCAGATGTTCCACCTAATGTAGAGTTGAAGGGAAAAGGGAGAAGACCTCTGAACCCATCATCTATCCACTGAACCTCACTCACATAGTCGGGGACGAAAAAAGATGATGGAAAACGGTGCCACTCACTTCCAATGCAAACGGTCGAACCTACGTTACATGTAACCAAATATTAATAAGAAATACAATTGAACTAATAGGATGAGAAAACCATGAATGTGATGATTCACACACACACTGAGGAAGTGCAGATTCCACATCCAATGTGACAATCCTCAGACAAAACACTAAACATGTTCAACAAGCAAAACGTGTTTGAAAATCAGGAAAACAAGCATGTTCTCAAAACAACCAAATTCGGTCATTATCATTATCTTATTAGCACAATTTTGAAAGTTTCCTGCTAATGGCAATAGAATTATTAACAGTTCAGTCATTATCATTCTCTAATTAGCATGATTTGGCAAATTTCCAGCTAATTGCATTACTTGTTAACATTGTAAAAGAGATGGTTGCTCATAAAACAGGGTTATATTACTATTCAGCTCAAGTAAAAAATGAAGAAAACAAGTAACATAGGAAAAGATTTTAATACTTTCTTATTCATATGATACCCAAAAAAGTTAAGTCCCTGTTGTTTGTTAGTCGAAATCTTATATGCTGAAAATTCAGAAATATTAGTACTGTTGGCATGTAGACGAAAGTCCTTCAAGACAGATGAATGAAGCGCAACACTGATTCTTACCTGTCCCTGCATCATCGTGGTGCTCCAAATGCTTGTATATTTCTAAAGGAGCAGAATAACCATTAGTCAATGAAAATGTCCTGGCATGGGAAGCGCACAGAATGAGTCCAAGTACCAAAGGTCTCAAACCCTTTGCTATCTGTACACGCAAATCAAAAGTAAGTTCTAAGTGGCAGTGATCATCAACCAACACAACTTTGCTACAGGAATTAGGAATTTTACCACAACAAGCAGAGAATTATCATTGGGATTATATTTATCACGAAACAAATCTGGAAAGCTCTCAATGACAGCTGCAGCAGCAACACAAATAAGTGGATATATTGGATAGAGGAATCTGCAAAAGGACAGGAAAATAACAAGAATCATCACTTAATTTTTCGTTCATATCCATTTTACAATCTCGAGTTAAGCAAGATCAGACAAAAACCATTGATTTCTAAAAGTGCTACTGCCGCATCAAATGTTTGTACAGACAATAGAGAACTTCACTAAGTGCATTGGAAAACCCAATCTGAACTCTCATGTAAAAACAAAATGGTATAATAGCATGTTAATCTATGTGTTCCCACGTATTCTAGCAACAGGGAAAGATCCAATTCCACTGGCTTTCTCCATCTTTTACACTAACTGGCATACAGATATCTCTATGAACACCCAAAATCTACCAGAGGAAGTTATCCAAGATAGAGAAAGGCGAGGCAAAAAAGATAGTAGAGGATGACCTGACTAACTCTGTTAGGAAATCAATCAACTTAAACCAGTACAATTCACACGAGCACTCACATCACTCTACGCTAACTAATCAGGAAGAGGCAGGGATAACATATACCAAATGCATTGCCTTTCTGGACCTCATAAATCTATGGGATAAAATTATTAAGATATCCCAGTTTTAGGATTTCCTGAATTCCTAAACCTAAAATCTGATATTTATGCAGAAACGGGGCTGAAAAATTAAGCGGACCGACTTCGCAAAGCTTACTGCAGTAAATCAAGAAACACAATTCTTTAGCACGTGGGCAGCATGTTACATGGATGCGCAGAGATTATTTGGGCACAAACAGTAGAGCAACATGCATGTGACTGTAGACCTCCCATCAGAATTGCAAAATCAAGAAAATTTCACATCTGATGAATAGTTTACAAACACAAATGTAAAAGCATAGAATCTATACCAACCCTACATAATTAGATATGAGCTTTTTATTCTCTGATATGTGAACTAACTCTCCTCATTTATCCATTAATAAAGCAAAAATAGCTTTTCAGTAAAGTTTGGGCAAGGGACATCTTTCTTAACATTCACATGCATATATACAAATATGAAGAAATGACTTGAGACGAAAACAGTTTGGCATTCTACATGTTTAACTAACATTTATAGAAATAATATGAACTGTTGATCAAAAGTAAAGATGTTAATAGTCATTGTAATCCCTTGAGACAAAAAAATAATGGTAATGATACATATTTAACTAACACTCTAGGAATAGTACAAACCAGTGATCAACAATTAAGATGTTATTATAGATAATAAAAACAAACAAATATAGAGAGAGAAAAATATTGAACAGATTTTTCTATTCTAGAGTGGGGTGGGGTGGACAGATAATTTTGATCTAACCTTTCTTCCTTGTGCGGCTGCAAAGACATAAAAGCTAGCCATATATAGATAGGTGAGATGATAACCAACAAGTCTGGAGCATACTTCTTCTTTGCAATTGGAAGAATGGCAATGAAAAGCAGAGCAAGAATGAAACAGAAGTTGAAGTTATTGAAGCCATTTCTCAGGTAAAACAACAGCCCTTCAGTGCCATACAAATGACTCTCTCCACCGCCTACGACATTATATATCAACAAATTGAGAACAGATGATGTCCACTTTCCATAGTAGAAGTAGTCAACATAAACTGAAAATGCCTGAAAAAAAAAATTGACGTATCTATCATATGATATGCATATCATAGGAAGAATTGAAGAAAATTGCAAAAATACAGGATCAGATTCATTAACCTTATAGGATTGCCAACTATAATTAAACAAAAAGTTTATAAAGAAATTTGATTTATAATCAATTTCACTTACCATAAGAGCAAGAGAAGTGACAACGCCAGATATAAATGCATAGTTAAACCTTCTAAATAGAGAGTAAAATGTAACCGGAAGGAATGCCAAGATTGAGAATGGCCACCCAAGAATGACTCCAGTGGCTGCAATAGCAACTGCTGCAGCAGGTTTCCCAAAAAGAAATAACGCTGAAGAGAAAGACATCGCATACATAGAGAATGAACTTGGCAAGAAACCTGCAGTTGAAGTCCATACAAAATATGTTTAAGTTAATAAAAGGGCGGAAAATGTAAACTTATTTATAAAAATAAGAAAGAACTGAGTACAACCAAATGGTCCTCGTGGTCACATAAAAGTGCATTACCAATGAATTATAAAGAAGAAGAGCACAGATTAGGAAACAATTAATTAAAAAGACATACTTACTAGTGCTAGCGAAGAAACAGCCGCTTGCTAAGCATAGCATTGCAAGTGTATATGAAGCAAGACGTTTTCCATACTTCCTGGATATGGCTACAACTAGGGCAGCATCTGCCATGACAGAGAGAAAGCCAAGAAAAAATCGCACTGCATAGAAGACTTTCACCTGAAATATGTAGATTTGTTGAGCACACGGAATCAAGAAATGAAAAGAGAAAAAGGAGGTAGACGGGGCCACCAGGGTGGGGGCATCAGCAAAAAGTAGTTCAGGATCGGGCAGAAATATCTCACTTTTTCTTCATAAAACCACCAGGAAGCAGGCCCACCAGCCAATTTATGGAGAAGAATATACAAATATGATCGTAATGCAAACTGCGAGCTGCAGGAGACCAAGCATTTGATGAGAAGATATCATTAAAAAAATTGGAGATGCTCGCAAATCTTGAGCTGTTTTTATATGCGTACACGCATAGACTACGCTCTGGAATACGAAGAAGATTAAATGAACAAATTATTTACTGAATTGACACTATCGCAACTCCTTCCTGAGGCCATCATCATGACAAGGTGACATGTTTTCAGCAGCGCCTCAAGGCAAGGATCAGACGGTTCATTAGGAGACTCAAAACTTACACTTGCATTGTCTTTTGTCAAGGTTTGCGCCTTGACTTACCGGGTACATGCCTCAAGGCATAAGCATTAGGGCGTTGAGGAGTGACCTACTTTCTCTTGCATCCTGGAATATTTTAATGGCCTCGGATTTCTGGACTGCTTTTTCTAGCATTTTTTCTTGAGTTGTTTTAGACACAACACATCCCAAAAAAGGAAAAGAATTACAAGTTAAAGAAGAGAATGGGTGAAGAAAGGTACAAGCTTTAGGCCTCTACTCCAACTAAAGTGAAATCACTAATGTGAAGTTCCAACTTCACGAAGGCATATGACCAATGACAAGAGACGTGTAACTTCAAAGTAAATAAAACTCTTTGGTCAGCCACTCAGTTGTTTCGTTTATTTGACTTTTAGTTCTACTTCTGGACAAATGGTCTTGCTATGTAATTACTGCTTTGATAATTAATTGTGTGCTACTTAGTTTATCTAGTTTATGTAATAGACTTTCTAATTTTGTTGAAATGTTATTAATGGATAATTTTAGATGCTTATGGTTTATTATTATTAGTGTAATTATGCATTTTAAAAAATTTTGAATTATTTTATGATTGGAGGCTGCCTCCATTCTTTCGTCTCGCTCCACAGAAACAAAATGCCTCATACCATATTTCCATAACAAAGGGAAGATTAAATATGTATTGTAGTATTTACTAAATGAAACATTAGCTATCTAAAGGCCATTACTTGTGACAATTGTAACAATTACATTGTAATATCCAAATAAATGACAGCACTTTGACCATTTAAAACTTAAACCTAAAAAGATGCAAAAATTAATCTGTCTGTGCAAAGTTCTAATTTCTAGGCAATATAGTGGCTAATAACAATTTTATGCAGCTTTCTTCACTCTCACAACGTTTTGTACACCATTCTAATTTGTATTTCAAACAAAATCCACCACCTGGAGATCGTAAGCTTTACCCTATACTCAGAAGTTAAACTACAACCTATACTGTGCGTCTTTCATATACATTTCACCATACAATTTAGCCACAGCTATAGACAGCTCCAAACAATAAACTATTAACTAATTAAGTGAAATAAAAACATACAAGTAGATGCACACCTGTATTCCCAGGTCTGGAAGCCGGACTTGTAGAGTAGGAAATGGAGGGGCTCCCAGTAATTGAAAACCTCATCGCAGTCGTGTATGATGTTCGATGTGGCGCTCATATACCTCAACATCCCCAGTGCCACCAGTGGCAGGAACCATCCTAATCCCTTCTCCTCGCCATCGCCGCCGGGTTTTTCCGGCTTGTCCAGCTTCGTGTACGGCGTGGACGATGTCGTGTGCATATCCGTCGGCAACGGACGCCGCTGCCTCGTCGTTAGCGCCATTTCCTTTTCTTCGCTCTCTAAAAATTTCTTTCCGTTTCTTCTCTCTGTGTGTAGATTGTATTTGGAGTGGAGAATTTGATGGTTTTGCCTTTCGATCTTGCAAATGATTCGTTACTTGTATTTGGGGAAGTCAGTGTGTTGATTGGGAGATTTTAAAAGTAAGAACGCTGAACGATTTATAGAAATGTAAAATTACAGTGTTGGTCCCCAATCTATTAACAGACAATCACAAAGGCAGTGATGTTGAACAATCTGTTTTATTAGGAAGCCAATCCAATAGAGATTGAGAAACAAGTGTAATTGTCTTCAGGGGCTTATCCTATTACGATTTATATTTAGCCCTGGTTCAGTTCGGTGGATGGTCGTTAAGCTAACATCTACATGGGCGATTGTCGAACTCATGACCTCGATGGAAACCTACATTCCAGTTTGGCCGGTCGCCCGTGAAAGGTCCAACATGTTGGGAAATTTCACACCAATTTCTCTTTTCTACTTAACCCGCAGGATCTTTTGTTGTTCAGAATAATATTAGCAAACAAGAAAAATAAAGAATATAACGCACAAACTTAAATGGACCGTCAAAGCTTTTTTTTTCACTATATGAAAATTGTTACAACCATATAGAATTTCACTCACCAACCTAATTCCAAAGTATTACACAAGAAAATAGACTTCAACATACACCAGCTTGCCCGCCTCTGTTACTCACCACAGAAGCTATCGCCTTCAGTATATATATATATACAACCATGCTACAAGTACAATTTTTTTGACAACAAGTTTGACAATGTGCCACATGTTGAAGGTTGAGTGGCCAGTTTTTAAACACCACACACTTTCCCGCCCATTCGAATTTGAATTAAGATGGATTGTCAAATTCCTTGTCAACCATGGATTGTACACAAAGCATTATTCATATATATATAACACCTGCCAACTCTTTGAACTTTTGTTCCCAAGAATCTGCCAATTAGCCTTTGTTCCTGTGCATATTAATTTCAGCAGTAAGCCTTTTCCCTTTTCAAGCCGTAATGTTTGACTCTCTTCACATGCACAACAGCCAATTGCAGTTTCTCTTAGCCTGTAGATAATATGTATATGTACTCTTGGTTGCACTGCCTCCGCCTATTTTTCTTCTCTTAGGTCACACGGCCACACACCAAAATAATGAAATACTTTCATTATTTATAGGACCCAATAACCAAGTAAAAGAGTTTAATTCAAACTCAAATAATGACTCCAAAATCGACTATAACTTGAAGATCAAATTCTAACAGGATTCTGTCCTCAACTTAAATTAGAAATCTTCTATATAATAAATACCTTTTATTATTTGCAATAGGAATCTTCCAACTTTTGACTTTTGAGGCAATTATCCAACACAACAACCCATGTGGTCGAGCCAACATTATAATTTGAGACACCTACATTGTTTTTGTAAACCATCCGTGCATCACAGCAGATAAAAGGATAAATTCCATTGCAACATCATTATTAAAGTACAAGATAGCGATCCTTAACATTGATCAAATCTGATTGTATTCAGATATCAATGTTCTAGCATAGATATAAAAAGCAAGTTTTCAAGTAGTGACCAGGTCATCCAACTTTTCCACCTCGAAAAGTCGTTCTCATACAAAAGGGTAAAAAGAAACAAAATCAACTTAACCGGTATTCTGCAAACCGGCAGCAATACCCTTCATGGTCAAGATGAGGGTGTCCTCCAATCCCGGGGCATAATCACTTGTCGGGTTCAACATCACAAGTTCAGCAGCCGAGCTTGATTCTATATAATCTTTGGAGATATGAGGCCTCAACTTCACGTGGTAGTTTGGATCACGAATTCGCTTCAGAGTATAAGCCTGGCTCACATTTAAGGTTGTAATGTAAGAATCACGCAAACGAAGTCGTTGCTTCAAGTAGGGGTCTCCTTCCAAAAGATCCTTGTGTCCAGCAATCTACAAAATGTGGAATTACTCGATCAACATAATCTCCAGCAGTTGTTTTAGAGCAATCAAATGAACAAGTATTCAACCAAATCTTTACAATTTCAGACTTTCTGAAGACATTACCTGGAGCAGAAGACCTTTTGTTTCCTCATACATGGCCCTCAAATGCTGACCGAGCGACCAAAGATCTTCTGAAACGAGGAGTTTGTCATAAAGAGCAGCGATACCAGGGTCTCCCTTGGCAAATACCATCTCAACTAGATCGATAGTGACTCTAAAGAAAGGCCATTCGTTGTACATTTCCTGTAGCATTTTGATGTTCTTAATGTCCTTTTGGAGTGCATATTTAAATGCTGCTCCAAAACCAAGCCAAACGGGGAGATGAAATCTGGTCTGAGTCCAGGCAAAGATCCATGGAATAGCTCTGAGTGATTCAATGCCTCCACTTGGTTTCCGTTTTGACGGACGACTACCAATGTTCATCCTACCGTACTCCAATTCTGGCGTGGCCTAAAAGAATGAGTAAAAGAAGTTTCGTCATTCAACTGCTATACATTGGAGTTAGCGATTATCCTTGAAGAAAAAGAAAAAATATGATGTGCCATTTAACTCACAAGGCGGAAATACTCTACAAACCGGGGTTCTTTGAATACAATTGAGCGGTACTCTTCTGTGGAGACAACAGCAATTTCATCCAAAAGTGCACGCCACTCGGGTTTTGGGGCGACAGGTGGACGCATCCCATGTTCAAGTGTAGCAGCAGTAAAACGTTGGAGTGTTCTGAAACACAAGTGTTCCTCCCCAAACGATTGCTCAATAACTTCTCCCTGTACTGTGACACGGAGAGATCCATGAATAGTATCTGGAGGTTGGGACAATATAGCAAGGTGAGTGGGGCCACCTCCTCTTCCAACTGTCCCACCTCGACCGTGGAACATAGTCAACTTCACTCCATATTGTTTTGCAACTTTGATAAGCTCCTCCTGAGCCTTGTACAGTTGCCAGGCTGCTGACAGTCGACCAGCATCTTTGCCAGAGTCTGAGTACCCAATCATCACCTCTTGCTTACCATTAATCCGATTTTTGTACCAATCAATGGAGAAAAGACGTGCAACAGCAGCAGGAGCAGCTTCAAGATCATCTAATTTCTCAAAAAGTGGAACAACTCTCAATGGGGTCTTCACATGGCATTCACGCTGTAGAAGCTCAACTGCTAACACATCAGATGGTGCCGTAGCCATTGAAATAATGTATGCTCCAAAGCAGTCGGGTGGGAGTTCCGCTAAGACGTGGAACGTATCCAAAACATCAGCAATCTCTTCAGTTTTTGGAAGATCAGGTCCAAAGAGGGGTCTCTTGCCACTAAGTTCAGACAACAGCCATTCCTGCCGATGCTCTTCTGACCATTCTCGATAGGAACCAATTTCCAAGTGCTTGGTAATGGCATCTAGGACATCAGTGTGTCTGTCCGATTCTTGTCTTATATCAAGTCTCACAAGTGAGAGACCAAAGGTAGAAACTTGCCTTAGAAAATCCAGAAGGCTTCCATCGGCTATCGACCTGTCCCCACAAGCACAAAGAGATCTATAGCAGAGCTCGAGAGGTTCTAAGAACTGCATAAAATTTAAAAATCGAATCAGCACCTTTTTAATATATCTGGGGTAAAAAATTCGTTGTGGAACCTAAAAACTCAAAATCCAAGAGCACCGAATAATGTATAGCTTGCATTCACAACAAAAAGAGAAGTGTAGATGTGTGAAAGTCCAGGCAGACATTGAGTTACAAGCATATGTGGAAACTAAACTACTTCAAAATTTCATGCTTAAGAGAACGTTTTGTCATTATGGGAAGATTAGCGCATGCTATAGGTGCACATGAACCTGTCAGTGGTTAATTTGGAAGATGAAGAAAAAAATACCTGCTCAACATTGATGTATGTCGCCTCCTCAGGAATATCAGATATTCCTTGGGCTAATAAATGGCGTGAACGCTCACGTGTCTGATAGAGCTTATCTCTCACATCACCAAGAATGACACGATAGGGTTCATTGGGTGGAACTTGTTTCCAAAATTCTGCATGGCAGAAGGGCCAATTTTTTAACTCCAGAGAGATAAAGAGAGAATTCTATATACAGAGTAAGAATAAATATCAAAAGCAGCCATTAAATTAGCCTCTGATTCTGAAATTCATATTCATAGGAAGAGGTGGTATGTCTCAAGATAAGAATCAGAAAATTGTATTTAATATTGACTGGAGAGTGCATAGATTACCTATGTAATGCTTAGCATCTCTCTTTGAGGATCTATGGAGTTCATCCGCTCGAACACGAAGCTCGTCACTGCAACGCCACATAGACAACTGGCAAGAGCATAGGAATTAGAAAAAGAGAAAACATAATATAGGATTACAGCTTACTAGCTGAAATAAAAGAAGCTGAAAAAATCTCAGATAAACTTTACCACAATTTAGTTATTGAATACCTCAAACATGAGATCCTCTATTTGGGAATAGTACAACTTAGCAGCCATCATTCTAGCCAATAGGCAAACGTCTCTTGTGACCTCAGGAGTTACCCTTGGATTGCCTGCATTTGAATTTACACAGATGTTAAGCATTATAAAACAAGGAAAAGTTATGCAAAGTCACTTCGAAATTACAGTAAAATGTTATTCTGTCTTATTGTTAGAAAGTCATAGATATAGAACAACTAAAAGACAACTGCAACAGTATGAAAATGATAAAATATATTTAAACACGAATTAAATCTTTCAACCAGATATGTTCTGTTGCCTGTATTCTAACTAATTTGTGACACGATATAATAGATGGTATTTGTCTTGGGCAATAAGGAATATACCATCACGATCTCCACCCATCCAAGAAGAAAACTGAATCAGAGGGGCATTGTAAGGAACGCGTTCATTAATCCCGATATTCTTAAGTGCTGTATCAACACGTCGTAGAAACTTCGGCACGCCATTCCAAATTGTCTCATGGAAGTAGCTCATTCCAGCTCTCATTTCATCTTGGGGAGTAGGAGGAGTCCTCCG